CTTTCTTCTTACACAGCACGAGAGCCCTGTCCAGGGAATGATGCCACCTACATGCAGGGTGGGTTGTCTTCCCTTCCTTAGCTCCTGTGGAAACTCTCACAGACCTACACACATGCGTCTCCTACAGTCATTCCAATGGAGCGTTGCAGCTCTGGCCTTTATAACAAGCCTGCAGGGCTCCTCTAATACTTGACACATTCGCTCCTGTGCTAGAGGTCAGGAGTCCAAAATCTGCCTCGCTGGGCTAAAGGCAAGGTGACATCAGGGCCAGTTTCTTCCCGAGGTTCCAGGGAAGAATCCACTTCCTGCAGCTTGTAGGCCTCCCACCCCACCTACACCCACATACCAGTAAACCAGGAGAAGAGCATCTTCAAACCTCTGCACCCACTATCACCTCCTCTACTCAGACTCCAACTCCTGCCTCCTCCTTTCCCTTATAAAGACCCACCCAGAAAAATCCAAGTTAGCATTTCCATCTCAAGCTCCATGCCCAGATCCCATCTGCCAAGTCCTGCAGTAGGAGGTGACCTGGCCATCTCTGGGGCCATCGGGGCTGACCTAGCCCTGGCTTAGTGGGAATAAGCGTGATAATTGGTGTCTATAATAATAATAATAAGTGGGTAGAAAGAGGTATAAAACTCAGGTAAGGGTGAACATCTGTGGCGGCCACCAACCTACCCTCCCTTTGCTCTATGCACAGGAGCCCAGCAGAATCACTGAGCCAGGAAGCGGTGCCAAGAGCACAGAGGGAAAGCTAAGCAAATCACAGCAGCTGAAGAAGGTCTTCCAGGAATATGGGGCCGTGGGCGTGTCGCTGCACATTGGGATCTCGCTGGTCTCCTTGGGGATGTTCTACACAGTTGTTTCCAGGTACGATTTTCAACAGTGGTCACCGTGTGACTGGATGTGGTAGCACCAGCCACACCTGTAATCCCAGCATTCAGAAGGTGCAGGCAAGTGGGTCACAGGTCCAGGTCATCCATCCTTAACTACATAGAATTTGAGGCCAGCTTGGGCTACATGAGACTCTATCCCAAAAGCATTTTTTTGTTTAGTTTTGTGTTCTTCCTCTGTAAGGTAAACTAAAAATGTGGATGAATTTTATTATTGATTTTGGGGTTTTTTTCGGGGGGAGGAGGTTCGTTTGCTGAAACCTACGTACTCATCCATTCCCTGTATTATATACTTTCAAAGTATGTATAGTTCATCTGGGTCAGCAAGATGGCTTAGCAGGTAAAAAGTACTTGTCAGAAAAGTCCAGCTATCTGAGTTCTACCCCGGAGCTCACAGCGGAAAGAGAGAACCAACTCCTGGAAGTTGCCTCTGACCTCTGCATGCGTGCCATGGCATGTGCGTTGCTCATATTCATACACACAATAATCATAAGAGTTTGTTTAATAATAAAAAGTAAAAATACTGTCACCCTCCCAGGCAGTTCAGTTTCTTCCTTTAATCCCCGTCTGTGACATTTTCTTTGCCTCTTTCTCCCCCCAGTGGCATCGACATGTCTGCAATCCTGCTTAAGCTTGGCTTCAAAGAGTCCCTGGTGCAATCCAAAATGGCAGCCGGCACCAGCACATTCGTGGTGGCCTATGCCATCCACAAGCTCTTTGCACCCGTGAGGATCAGCATCACCTTGTTCTCTGTGCCCTTCGTCGTTAGATACTTCCGCAGAGTGGGACTCTTTAAGCCTCCAGCCACCAAGCCATGAGGAAGCCAGTTTCTTCTGAACTACAGGATTTGGGTTGGTTTCAGGGTGGGGTTTTTTGGGGGGAGTATGTGGCAGAGGCTAATGACTGTGTTCATTGTGGGTTTATTTTACTTTTGCCAGCAATAATCTGGTGTGTTAATTTACTTTTTTAAAAATGATATTCCTCGAGGAGCCATGTTCGTGACTTAAAATGTCACCAAGGCTTCAAAATGAGTTGATAGCCACTCATGGTGGCCCAGGCCAGTAAGGCCAGCTACTGAGGAGGCTGAGGCAGGAGGATCTCAAACTCAAAGCCTGCTTGAGCTACTGCGATTAGGGTCAACAGTGAAGGGAGGGGCAAAGGGCATTGGCAGCAGAGCCCTCGCCCAGCACAGCAAGAACCTAAATTTGATACCAGTACAAAATGGGACTGCCTACAGAATGCCTCTTAGGTCATTAGGCAGGAGTCTCTGCAGCACCCCACAGGACTAACCTTGGCTCAGGTTCCTGAAAAGCAGTGGTTAATTTGAGAACACCCTCTCGCCTGATTTATCACTGGCAGCAGCCTGCAGTTAACACACAGTATTCTGCAGACAGCTGCCAGCACCACAGTTAATCAAGGAAAAATTAACAATCCCTAATCACAGTCTCCATTAACATCCAAGCCCTTGACCTTCGTAACAATTGTGCCAGGGAAAACCAGCCATGAGCTTCTGGTGTGTTCACTGACTCCAGAGCGACTTAGTTCTGGGTGTGATGAGGCTGTTTGTCTGCAATCTCACTGATACGAGGCAGTATTGTTTGTAAAGTATGGAAATGCGGCCCAGGTGTAACGGCGTCACTTGGCTCCTGATGCCCATATTCAGGGGAACTCAGATCCTTCCATAGAAGCTAAAAAAACATCCTAGCTTTCTCAGACAATCCTCTTAGCTATCTAAACCTTGAGACATTCCAGAGCTGACACCATGTTTACAGTGTGCCACTGTTTACGTTTTTTAATTGAATTGAATCATATGCATGAAGTATTTCTACCACTTTCCAAAAAAAAAAAAAAAATGTAAAATGTCTGTTCCGAGTAGAAGACAACCGTGTAGGACTACAAGCCGAGGGGAAGAGAGACCTTAGGGTTCTATTGCTGTGATGAAACACCATAACCAAAAGCAATTGGGGATGGGGGGTTGATCTCACTCACAGGTCCATGTAACAGTTCATCATCAAAAGCAGTGAGGGCAGGAGGCAGGAGCTGATGCAGAAGACATGGAGGGTGCTGCTTACTGGCTTGCTCATCGAGGCTTGCTCAGCCTTTCTTACTCAGGACCAAAAGCCCAGGAATGGGCTAAACCCTCCCCCATCAATCACTAATTAAGAAAATGCTGTACAGGCTTGTCTACAGCCCTTTCTTATGGAGGTATTTTCTCAATTGAGGTCCCCTCCTATCTGATGACTCTGTCATGTTGACATAGAACTAGGCAGCACAAGAGAGTGGGACAGGTTTAACTACAGTCCGCCACGGGAGGGTAAGTGTAGAGGGTGCGTTTAGAGTAGAAACCAAAGCAAACTCTCAAGCCTCCTCCAGGAAGCCAGGAGCAGGAATTGGCTCCATCGCTCAACCCTCCCCTCTGGGCAGGCACTTGTTATGTCATATCCAAAAGAAACTCCAGGCCCAAGCCCCAAAGGCAGTCCAAAGATCCAGGAATGGGGTCAACCTGGACTAAAGGATTTCTGGTGGTTACATAAAAGCCAGCATTCCTCAGAACTTGTGAAACCGGTTCCCCTCTACCAAAAGGAGACATTTCCCTTCCCTCTGACAGAAGGGAGCTATGGCTACCTGTGGCTATCAGCATATCAAAGCTCATGCTGGCATCACAAGTACCGGACACACATCCAAGTCCATGCTAGCACCTCCTCTTGTACCAAACTCCCTTGAACTCACAGGCTTCCCTTCCCCAGCTACTCTCTCTCTCCTCTGCTCCTGCTACTGTGTTCTCTCTCACAGGTAGCCCTGGTTAGGTCCAGTCTGGCTGTTCTCTCCCCTTAGGCACCATATCAGTTTATACAGTTCTTCCCTGATGAGTCAGACTTTGAAGTTGGCTCAGCTGCATGGTGACAAGGGTTGCATTCGTTTTTCTTGCTCACAATTCCGTTGACAATCGGAAAACACAAAGAAAGCACTGCTAGCTAGCAGGAACACATCTTACTGAGATCTGGCTGACAGTTTTTTAGCCCACAGTCACCCACACCATTTGTCTCGGTTAACATTTAAAAGAAGTTTTGTGAGACAAACTCTCCACTCGTGAGATCTTTAAAGTGGGATTGCGGTCTTTTCCTCTTAATGCAGCCCACAGCTGGAAGCTTTTACTAAGATCAGGATGTATTACAGAAACTAATCCCAAAGACAGCCACATAGCTGAGCAAGAAGCCCCAGGTCAATGTCGGGGGCTTGTGTGGACTAGATGGAGGAAGGGAGAAGTCTCTCCATCTTGCCCAGCGTGGACCCCCACCCACCCTACTTGCCCATTTAGGTTCCTTAGTAACACCTATGCAAAGAAATACACTGAAAGTAGCAATAAAACTAATTGTACCCACAGCATGTGTCTTTCAAGCCAGGAACCAGAACCAGGGGTGAGTTGAGAGGTTGGAAGACTAAAGAACCATATAAACCAGCCAGACAAGCAGATCTGCTCCTGTTACCTTCAGTGGAACTGGAGCAAGGAAACAATCTTAAAACGCAAGCCATCGTTGGCCTGCCTCTAGTTTTCTAAGCAGACCCACTGACCAGCTTAGATTCTGTGAAACCAATAAAAACTTTTGTAAAATGATGTGTTCTGTCATCTGTTAAGCCGTTGCTGCTGCAGGCTAGAAGCATCCTGTCGATGTGCAGCAACCAGCTGCTGGTGTGAGCTGCAGGCACCAAGTGTTCCATCACAGTTAACTGCAGCTGGGTGGACAGGACTTGGGATGGTGCTGTTTCAACCACGTTAGTTTAGACTGGGGACCAAAAGCTTATTTATCCCTATGCAGTTCCACTCAGGCTTGTAGTGAAGTGTGAGGATGGTCTGGCTGACGTTTTACACTGACCACTTGCATTTTCCATCACCTGACATCTACTGTCCTGAGTTTGCTGTGAAAGCCTGTTTCTCTAATTCTAAGCTCCCCCCACCCCCGGTTGATGGACAGGTAATATTGGCTGCTATAAACTCGACATGTTAGGATCATAGCCAAAAGAGCAGAAAAGCAGACCTGCTCACTCTAGCCAACAGTGACCAGGTGACCAAATGATTCCATGTACTCCAGGTAGATGTTATACATATGTTTATATATTTAACAAGTTTGTGTGCTTGACAGAACTCCAGCATAACAGCCCATAACATCTAGAAACACCTGAGTCAAGTCCAAAGCAGGTAGAGCACAGGCTCTATTGAGGTGGTTGAGGGTCTGAATCCCATACAGGCTTAAGGCTGAAAACCAGTGTTCTGAAGGGTTGCCACTTAAGAAAAGGCGATACAAACCTTTATTTTAACATTTAAAAGAAAACTACATATTCATTCCAACAGCTTTCCCAGGCCTGGCGGCCCAATAAGTTACACACACACTCAGGCACTTGAAGGCTACGGACACAGGTGATCACTAGGAAGGTGGCCAGAGTGAGAACTTTCCCACAGTGAGACCCCAGCAAGGACACTTTGGGGGTCACAGGCCATGGGAACTGTTGCAGTGGAACCTTCCTCCAGATTACTGAACCAGGAAGAGCAGCATGGTTCTTGCTCAGGTGGGGCTTCCTGCATGCAAGGCCAGGGACTGCCTGCTCAGCAGGGCACCGGGGGCAGTGATGATGCTCCTGCAGGTCTTGATGGCGCATTTCTCACAGCAGCACAGTGACCATGGCTCCGAATTCTCTAAGACGATTTGCTAGTTAGCTCTTTGGTTTTTTGGCCAGTCGAAGACTTTGAGGAATTAGCTGTGATCCAGGGGTGCTCAAGGACTTCCGCTAGTGTTAGCCTCTGGCTTGCATTGTGCTTTAACAGTCTTAAAATGAGATCCCTGGCTCCTTCAGTCACAAAGTCGGGGAATGTGAATTCAACCTGAAATATAAATGATAAAAATGACATGGGTCAGGTGTACACGAATAAACAGCAGCCCTTGGCAAGAACTGAAAGTAACACCCTACCCGTGATATCCTTCTGTAGGTCTCCTGGTAGGTTTGTGCCTCAAAGGGGGGCATCCCAACTAGGAACTCATAGCAGAGGACACCCAGGCTCCAGAGGTCCACCTTCTCATCGTGCATCCGGCCCTCAATCATCTCGGGGGGCAGGTAGTCCAGGGTGCCACACAGTGTGGTTCTCCTGAAAATGAAGGAAGCTGGGTCGACACTCTGACCTACACGGCAATGTGGCATGAGCACCCATCCCTCCCCCTGCTCAGTGCTGTCAGACAGGTGCTCACCTATATCCCACTTTTACGAAATGGATGGCGGGGAGTGTGTATGATCACACACCAGCCATCGTGCTTCCCCAGCAACAGCTCCAGAACCTCTTGGAAATCTCTCGTCCCAGTAACCCTGTCAGGACAGTCTGGAGAACTTTGGAGGCCAGTCTGGGCTTTGAAGCAAGAACCCATCTCAGAAAACAAAGGCGCTATGCAGTGTTCTCCATAGTTGGAGTTCTACATGAGCTCTCAGAGAAGCAACACTATCATCCTAGGCTGGGAATGTTGGCGGATCCCCGTAATTCCAACATCTGGTGGGATGAGGCAGGACTGACAGAGGTTCAATTCCAAGGCCCACCTGGGCTACAGTGTGAGACTGTACAGTGAGACTGTGTTAGTGACGCGGGGGAGAGGAAAGCAAAGCCGTGGAAATGTAAGGGTCTACAAGATGGGAGAGGCAGCCACGCACTGCATGGAGTGTCTGTCACCAGGTTCACTCCGGCTGCTCTTGGTTTGGGGCTTAGAAATGAAATTTTCTATTTTACATGTGTTTTGTCTGCATGTCTGTACACATGAATGTTATGTCCAAGGAGGCCAGGAAAGGGTACTGCGTCTCCTAAACCTGGAGTTACAGAGAGTTCTGAGCCACCACATGGGTGCTGGGTACTGAACCCAGGTCCTCTGCAAGAGCAGCCAGTGCTCTCAACAGCTAAACCCCTCTCCAAACCTTCTTTTTAAAGTGCCTTACTATGTGGCCCAGACTAGTCTCCAAGGAGGAATTCCCGACCTCAGCCTTCTAACTGCTGCTGGGACTACAGCTATGTGCCACCACACCTGGCTGAGATGTTTGTTTTAGTCTTACCAGGCTAGCCTCAAACTTGAGATCCTCCTCTCAATTCCTGGGATTAAAGTATGGACCATCACACTGGGCTTGGCTAGCTTCTCTCTCACCTGCCACAGAGGGAGGGCTGTGGGGGTTGGGGGTGTTCTGATTTAAAAACAGCTATAAAACATCATGGACAGCTAGAGAAATCTAGCTACTAAGAATTCAGCTAACCATGGTGGTCACAATGGCGGTGACTGTGCAGGGCACCTGTCTTATGGAATGTACTGAGGCATCGCGATGCTGTGGCTGACTAAATACCCACAAAGCCGATGCCTCGGTGTCCAGGGCTCTGGAATGTTGCTGTGGGCTGTTGTGCTGCCATCACCAAGTCGGCATTTTTGATCCATTTGTGTTTTGAAAGCCACAGCTGGAACAAGCCAGGAGCAGACAATGGAAGCAAATGTTACTGAGATACTGCAGGGGCATACTCAGCAATTCATGCCTGGTGCCCCACAAGCCCTCTGTGGGAGTCTCAAAAGATGGGCCCCAAAATTCAGCATCTCTGATGAGGACTGAATTTGAGAGGCAGCTGGAGCAGCTGACAATCCCCACTCCTATCGTCTCGCCTGAACCCTGCAAGCCGTCTCTATCCTGATGCCACCACTGGACAGATCACAGTCCAGGCTGATCGCACAGCTCCACGGCACCTACAGCTCTCTGGTGTTGATTTCACTGGGTAGCAGAAGTGCCCACTGATGTCATCAGTTCAAAAAAACCTGCCACACTGCAGCTGAAGACAAACAGAAGTGACCTTAAACTGCACTAACCATTTTTTCTTTTTTTTCCAAGACAGGGTTTCTCTGTGTAGCTTGGAGCCTGTCCTGGAGCTTGCTCCAGGCTGGTCTCGAACTCAGAGATCCACCTGCCTCTGCCTCCTAAGTGCTGGGACTAAAGGCTGTGCCAACTCTTATAACAGGTACTAATCTTCAAGACTACATTATTTGTGTGCTTTGACTGCGTGCTTACGTCAAGAGAACATCACAGAGCGAGAGGTGGGAGGACAATTTGGCCTAATTCAGTCCTCTCCCTTCCACCCAATGAAGCCAAGACCAAACTGGCTCAGCAACAAGCACCTTTACTTATTGAGCTTTCTCCTCCAACCTCTAACAGGCTTCCTAAAAAGCGGCATTTAGTAATATTTTAAAAAGCAATCCCCAAAGTGGGCAAGACCTTGACAGCAGGAGCATGCTTGAAGACACCCCATTCACAAGCTGGAGAGATGGCCCAGCAGTTAAGAGCACTGGCTTCTCTCCTAAAGGACCTGGGTTCAATTCCCAGCCGTATGTGGCACTTCACAACTGTTTGTAGCTCCAGTTCTAGAAGAACTGACACCCTCACACAGACATGCAGACAAAACACCAACACAGATAAAGTAGATTAAAATTTAAAGACACCCCATTCACATGAAAAATCAAAGCTACTCAAACCCAACTTTGATTTGCAAAGTTTGCCTCCTTTTCAACTGTCGCATTAGACGCCGTCCCTGCCTCAGCTTGAGAGGAGACAGTAAAGGTCTAATTCCCACTGCACCAACACTGCATGGTTTCGCTCTGTTCACCACCCCAGTTCAAGTCCCCCCAGAGTGCATCTTTGTTTATCGATCATACATCAGCCAGACCTCTAAGTTCATCGCCCTCTTCCATTAGCCTCTCGGAATATTCAGAACCTGTAAGCTAAGGCCTAGAGTGCCAGAGCCCAAATGGTCACAGAAAAAAGCTTTATCAAATCTACAGTGGTCCCAAGTATTCCTAGGTCAGCCAAGGCCCCTTATTTCAGAGTAAACTAGCATTTACTCAACAGTCCCCACCCCACCCCCCATTCAGGGCTTCCACCTCTGGACTCCCATACCTGGAAGATGGAGCATGTACAGACCACCCAAAGTCTGCAATCTTCAACTCTCCATTTGGCCCAAGAAGCAGGTTCTCTGGCTTAATGTCTCTGTGGATGACTCTCTTTGAATGACAGTAAGACAGAGCGTTTGCCAACTCGGTGATGTACTGTTGGGGAAAAAGCATTGAAGGCAGCGTTAGCTTTATGTAAAGCAGCCAGGCAACTGTGAAAGTTGATCCAATGAAGACTAACACGGTTTTCAGCTTTTGAAGTAAACTCATTCTTTTGTAGCTCACAGTAGAGACCAATGAGGCTGGCACCCACTGCACACTGCCAGAGCAACAGCAGCTATGGGCAGCAGGAGTGAGGGTCAGCCAGTACTCCCTGGCACCGCGTCCCCCTCACCTCCCAGGCTGTGGGACTGGGACTACACCCCTTACATTGCTCTGCAGTTTCTTAAATTACATGAGGAGTAAACGGGGGGGTGCTATGCTAATTAATAGGGAATAAATATTCTTGGCTTATATCTCAATGCACACAATTGAACTGAAATCTTAAATGGAGAAGCGCAAATATATAGATGATGTTTTGTCCACGTACAAAGTCTGAAGCAGGGTAACATCAGAAACCAATGGACAATTTCGTCATTTACCTTTGAGAAGAAAGTTGGTCAAACAGAAGATTTCTTATTGTTTGTTTTTCAACACAGAATTTTTGTGTAGCCCTGGCTGTCCTGGAACGCACTCTGTAGACCAGAATGGCCTCAAACTCAGAGATCTGCCTGCCTCTCTCCTCCCAAGTGCTAGAATCAAAGGTGTATGCCACAACTGCCTGGTTGATGATTTCTTACTAATGGCCAATTAAAGAAAATGATTAGTGCAGGTTGCTTGCTGTAAGCGTCAAGTGAGCATGACAGCAGCCTGTAATTCCAGCAGGCGGGAAGCAGGCTGCGAAAGAAAAGCAGCTATGCCTTAAGGACCGCGAGACCTCAGACTGCCTGGAGAAGAGCACGGGGGGGGGGGGGGGGAGCTCAGACCGGGAGGAAATAAAATACAACAATCAGGAAAAAAGCACTATAAAAACAAGACACAGGCATATATATATATATGACAAACAGCCAGTGTCATGTGATACCAGGAAACCCAGATCAACCACTACACCCTATCGGAACCACTGACGTCCAAAATCCCGATGGCAAATGCCCAAGGAGGGGTCTGGTATTCAATGACAAAACTGTCACCAGCTGACCCAAGCATACCATGTAAGACATAGACACAGGAACACATAACTAGTGAGGAGGCGGTGGGTGTTGCTCTCACCGCTGGGGGCAGTGTACAGTGTGGCCCAGGGAGAGGGAGCCCACAATGGCCCACATGAATGGGGAAAGCAGCAGTCCAGCTCGCTGCATCAGCTAAGGTGAAAGGATCAGCAAACACAGACGCTCTCCTCTGCCGCTAAGGACCTAGAAGCATCGACAGCTCAGCAGGAGGAGCTCCCGCCCTAGTCTCCAGAACTCAGTTTCCAGGAACATTCTCGGAAGGAATGGCTGCTTCTAGGGGCAGGCCCAGAAGTGAAGGAAAAGTTAAGCACTCTGAACCAGAGAAAGTACATGGAGCCCAATGCCCCACAATGGCAGTTTACATAGAAGAAAGAAGAGCTCCCAGCAGCCAACAATGGAACAAAATAAAACAAGTCCCTCTGCATTTTAAGTTAAAGACAGGAGAGAGAGAGGGAGGGGGGGGCTCCTCTTCTAGAAGTTCTAGACAGTTCCCAGTACCACACAGGTGTTCACAACCATCTGAAAGTGCAGCTCCCTCTTCTGGCCTCTGTGCATGTGGTACACAGATAAACATGCAGGCAAACTATTCAAATACAAAAAATAAATCCAAAAAGAACTCATGACAGGAAGAGCAACCTCGTGGCCCAAACTCCAAATAGTTCCCACTCCACTCAGCCCTCCTCCACTCTCCACTCCTCAGGGTGACCGTGCTTAGCGGCTGAGAGCTCAGCATGGGGAGGGAGAGACTGACTTAAGCAGAAGCAAAGGACAAAGCTCACCCAGGCACAGGGCACCGAGCTTACCACCTAGCAGGCTGTCACATTATAAATGTGCCATAGGGATGTGGGACAAGAGTGAGCTTGGTGCCGGGCTCTTCCTCAGGACCCACACGTGTCCCTTCCTAATCACAAGGGAAATGAATGCGCTCTGAAGAAAGCGTGGACGTCGCTACGCCAGTCATCACCAGCACTGATCCAGTCACAACCAAAGTAGGACACTCACTACAGTTGTTAGCAGGAGAGAAATAGGTGTGGGGCGCACAGAAACTCGGTGCTCTTGTGATTTCTGTATCTAGAACTATACTAAAATAAACACTGTGGTAATTTGAATGCCATTGTCCCCCATAAGCTCATAAGGGAGTGGCACTATTAGGAGGCGTGGCCTTGTTAGAGGAAGTGTGTCACTGTGGGGAACAGCTTTAAGGTCTCCCATGCTCAAGATACCCAGTGTCTCAATCGACTTCCCGTTGCCTGCAGCATGTAGGACTCTCAGCTACAGCACCATGTCCCACCATGATGACAATGGACTAACCCCAATTATATGTTTTCCTTTGTAACAGCTGCCCTGGTCGTGGTGTCTCTCCGCAGCCATACAAACCCTAAGACAAAGACAGACACAGACACACACACGGGAGATGACAAGGGAGAGCAGAACTAGATTACATTTCCACAGAAACACACACACACAAAGCCAACCACTCTATACATGAGGTATAAGCAGCCTTGATTTTTCCAAATGTTCAGTCCCATGAGCCCTTTTATGAAGACAGTCCCCTGGAACCATAAAGCAAGGGACATTAGGAGACAAGAGGGGGAGCCCAGACAGTACAGCACTTACGGTAGCCGTTCTCTGCTCGTCAAACTTGGAGTGCTTCTGGAGCTCTCTATAGACTGTCCCAAGGGGTGCATACTCGAGAATTAGATAAACTCTGGTGGCATCGTGGAAATATCCATACAGCCTGAGGATGTTGGGGTGCCTGCAACAAAGAATGGAGACCGTGACACCTGGCTCCAGAGTCCAGGTGTACCGAATGCCGAGCCAACCCAAGAAAACAGCACCTTAACCATACCCACACAAACATATTTGGGTGTGGTTCACACCGCTCCCTTCCAGACATCTTTATTCTTAGTGGGAACTGTCAGCTGAACACCAATCTCTAGGTGTTGAGGGGTGGGATGTGCCAACAGAAGACACATCCAAGGTAGACGGGCTGGCTGTGGGCAGGGGCCAGGTGGCTGGGCACAGCCTGCCAGAGGTGACAGCACCACTCACAGCCTGCCAGGTGATGGCAGGCCAGACAGCAGAGCTTCAGGGCTGGCATGAGTCAAACTTGGAAAACACCGAGATCTGGTGTAGGAGGTCCTTCTGTATTTGCGTTGCTTTCATTGGTTGAATAAAGAAACTGCCTTGGCCCTTTGATAGGGCAGCCCTTAGGTGGGCAGAGTAGACAGAACAGAATGCTGGGAAGAAGGGAAGTGTGGCAGATGCCATGAATCTCCTGCCTGAGACTGATGTAGGTTAGACTCTTGCCGGTAAGCTACAATCATGTGGTGACACACAGATTTAACAGAAATGGGTTACTCAAGATGTGAGAGTTAGCCAATAAGAGGCTAGAGCTAATAGGCCAGGCAATAATTTAATTAATACAATTTCTATGTGGTTATTTTGGGGTTTAAGCTAGCCTGGTGCTGGGAACATGGCCCGCTCCTCCTACAACAGAGATCCAAAACGGAAAACAAAAGAAAATACACCTATTGAACCATAGTCTTCCCCTAACTCTCCTCCTGAGGAAAGAAATCCCAAGTCAACTACCTGAGTGATGTAGCCTCAGGGCCACATCCCCTGCATCTACGGGAAACAGCAGCTTTAATCATTCCCACTGGTCCCCTGCTCCTGTGGCAGGAGGGCCACTCACCGCAAGTGGGACTGTATCTCCACTTCTCTTCGAAGCTGGTGCTCCACCCCTGCTTTCTCCAGCTGAGTTTTAAACAGCACCTTCAGGGCCAGGATAAACTTGCTTTGCTTCTCCCTTGCCAAGTAAACATTTCCAAACTTTCCTTTACCCAGGGGGCGGCCAATGTCAAAGTCCTCCAGAGTCCACTGCCTCCTAGAAAGTAATGTATTTAAATATGAAGAAAATCTCCACCACTTTCCAATAAACAGCCGACCTGATCCGCTCAGATGACACCTAGTACGGACACTAACAAGCACCAACCCGGAACCACCAGAATGAGTCACAACCTTAAAGCCCAACGTCCCCAGCCCAAAGCAGCACTGTACTGCAGAATACAGACTGACAGACAACCCTCACCACCACAGGACAGCAACAGTATGGACGACAGCACACCCTTCAGGACGGTGTGGGGACCTCCTCCCTGCATAGCCCCAGAGAATCCAACAGGCTACAGGGAGTCACTCTGGTGGGAGACACAGAGGCACTGCCATTGATGAAGCAGGAGAGACCCAACAGGCCATCCAAATGGCTTCACAAACTGTGTACAAGTTCACTGAGTTGTACAGTCCTCAGGTCTGTGTTGTATATTAACGTGTGATGTTTTTCTATTTACTACTTTTACAAATAAAGTTTTAATAAAATTTTCTATGAAAAAGGTAATTAAAGAAGGAAAAATGACTTTTGATCCCCTGGTCAATTGGTTGAATGAGGATGTGTTAGGATCGGTGGCCGCAGCTGGTGGTGTTCTGATACTGAGGGTGTGTTAGGATGGGGGTGGGGGGCGCAGCCGGGTGGTGTTCTGGCAATGAGGATGTGTTAGGATCAGGGCCACAGCCAGGTGATGTTCTGGTAGAAGAGGAAGAAAGCTTACTTTTTCGAGTCTTCAGTTTTCTGTTTTGATGCCTGTTCCTTTTCAGAATTATTTCCTATATGAAATAAGTTAAAATACTGTTTTTAGAGCAACTATATACTTCTTTAAAAAAAAAAAAAATCCGTGAACAGAGATAAATCAAAGAATAGTCCCATAGCCAGGCAGAGGCAGGCAGGTCTCTGTGAGTCATTGCCAGCCCAGTCTACAGAGCAAGTTCCAGGACAGGGCTACACAGAAAAATCCTGTCTCAAACAAAACAAAACAAACAACAAAAATCATCACCAAAATATTGGAGCTGCATCAAGCATGATAACCCTGGCTTTTCATTTCTCCATTGGGGAGACTACTAAGCCAGAAACCATGGTCTGCCGTGTGAGGGTCTCACTTTCTAGAGCGAATATGAGCAGGCCCTCATCCAACAAGAGCGAGCGTGTTCATCCTCATCCTGGAGCCTCCCCCAGGAAGACATTCCAGAGAAACCAGAGCATCCCACTCACAAGCTGCCCCCGCCACCTTCTCCACCCCTGCTGGGGCAGCGCTGCGTACAAATTATCATCATGGAAAGAGAGCACAAGCCAGTCACCCTCCTTCCAAAGACACGCTAGCCTAGAAGATGTGACAGTGGCACATCTAGGGACCACGGGTGCTACTTCAAGAGCTGCGCATGTGTGAGACATGTCCTTGTCACCCGAGACTCAAACAGCACAGCAGCTCCACTCAGGTCACATGACTATGGGTCCAAACTAATTTCTCCTTCATGAACCATTCTCTCGATTCATGTGTTCAATATCACCACTGCGGGACCTGAGGACCATGACCCAGGCACATACTCCAGCCACCTGGCCCTTCCACTGTCACCCTTTAGGGGACCGGCATATACACACATAATTTAAATGGGTTTCTTCCAGACTGTCTGCCTGCCATGGCTTATTTTACAGACACCATGTCCTTCTGAGGAGTTTAAGTTTTCTCTCTTCCTTCACCATCACAGCTGCCTCTTCCCCACTCATCCTCCAGGTCGCATCTATCACCCAGTTGTCTTGAGTCTGCTTCCTAAATGAAGTGGCAAATTCATGACACCTCTCCTTTCTGGTGATGTCTTAGAAGTTAACTGCTGACTTTTAGCCCGTTCTGTAGAAGTGTGCCAATAACTGGAGACCACATAAAGGGGCTACAAGGGCTGGAGATGCTGAGCAAGGCTGGCTATCATCTCAGAGCCAGCAAGCACTACCAGCTGCTAAATAATCAAACATTAACCCTGCTCCAGCCACTGCAGTTTAAGTTCAGCCTCCCTCCCAGGCGCCCCACAACCAGCAGCAGCCCCTCCCTTACAGCCAACATCTCCTTCTGCTCCAAAGAACCTGCAGTAGCTTCCCCTGGCAGGGCTAGCCATTACGTCTGTAATCATCCCATCTTCTCTTTATTCTCGACATACATGGCATACAAGCTAGGGCTTCAAAGTAAATGCCAATCTCTGCATTTGCTTTTTGAAGAACTAAAAAGTATGACCATCCAAGCAAGGCAGTAAAAGACTGGCTTACCAGAGGCTGTGGGCTGGGGCTGCTCACTTTTCTGGGGGTTGCTGAGCCGGGAGACAGGTCGAGGAACGTTGGCAGCTGGCAACTGCTTTGGCACTGGCTTTTGACATGAGGCCAGTTTCTGTGCTTGTGAAGGGACACGGTGGGAGGAGTTGGAAGGACACAAGACCCGCTGGGCCTGGCCACTGCTAGCCAATCCTAGGTTCTGAGAAGGAATCTGCTCTGTCACCAAGACTCGTTTTGGACCAAAGGGAACTGTGGTCTGAGATGGAGAGAAAGACATCATGGCTATTGGTATCCTGAGAACTCAACCAAGTTTCACTTCTAATCTAAGACTCATAAATATCATGGCTAACAAACGGAAATGGGGGCCGGAGAGATGACTGAGCAGTTAAGAGCACTAGCTGCCCTTTCGGAGGACCCTTAACTCCAGATCCAGGGGATGTGATGCCCTCTTCAGGCCTTAAGTGTGAGGTATACACACGGTACACAGAAATACATGCAGGCAAGGATTCATTCACATAAAATACAAATTTAAAAAAAAAAATAAAGTTAAAAGGAGGGGAGATGAAGCTATTTTAATATGCATGTGGCTAGATGGAGGGCACCTCCCACCCTCACCCCAAAAGTCCCCTCTATTAACCACTCAGGAACTCAGCCTCCAGCCAAGGGTGGAAACACTGAAGCTCCGAAGCCAGGGATACTGGTGCACACACACCTGTAATCCCAGTACTTGGGGGGCTAAGGCAGGAGGAGCACTGAGTTCTAGGCCAGCCTCAGCACCTCAGTGAGACCATCTGCCAGGAGCAGACTCAAGCGTTACCAAAACTTCATGTCCAAACCTTGTAACAACTTTATGTTTAGGAAAAAGACTGAACGAAATCTGACTGTTCAACAGCACCAACCTCAAGCGATTTTGCAAAACAGTTTAAAGTTATACTAGGCTTCCAATAAGCTTGTTACTAGTATTCTGTTAATACCTGGGTTTTACTTTCAGAGCACTTATTCAAGAGGGTCCCAATGAATCCTAGCCAGCCTGGATCTCTACATAGAACAGACTAGCCTGTCTCAGTCGGCCCACCTCTGCCCTCAAGGGATGAGATTAAAGGTGTGCCCATCACACCCTACCAACAAAATATTTAAGAATGTAACTTCCACCCAGGGGTTGAGGGTAGTGGTGCACACCTATAATCCCAGCACTAGGGAGGCAGAGGCTGCCAAAGCTGTGAATTCCAGGCAGTTCCAGCACAGCCAAGGCTGTTAACAGAGAAACCCTGTGTGTGTGTGTGGGGGGGGGGTAGGGTATAATCTCCAAAACTAAAATGCCTAAGAAATTATGAAGAAGTTGAGTTTTCAAAAAGAAAAAAGGGAGGACTCTGACAAAAAAGAAACAAATGTAAGTACTGTCCCAATTCCTAAACAACTCTTAAGGCCCACACCAAGCAGTAGAAGGGAAGGTGGGGCCCAGGATCCACTCACTCGGAAGATGGGCGGTCTCAAGTGTAAAGCCATCTCCTGCAGAAATAAAGGCCCACCGAAGGAAGCTTCCCGGCCGGGTCAGGAAATAAAGGCCCACCGATGGAAGCTTCCAGGCCGGGTCAGGAAGGGACTTAAGCTTCCACCCAAAGCAAGGGTGGGAAGAATTCCAATACCAGAATCATTTCTACAGGGGCAGCCCCCTTGGCTCAGTGGATAAGGACTCTAGAAGCTAAGCCTGACAACCTGAGTTAGATTCCCTGACCCACGTGGTAGAAAGAACCTATGCATGCAAGCTGCCCTCTGACCTACGCTATGGCACACGCACGGGTGCACACAAACAATGCATTTCACTTCAAAATTATTTCTAAAAAATACAATCGTGATCACGGGTAATTCTGTTTACCTTAGCAGGCCTGGAACCGCAGTTTTCTTTACATCTGTCCATGTCACCTGCAGAGAGAAACAAGAGCCGTTCACTTACAGGAAGCCACCTGCTTTAAAGTGCCAGACCTCTGTACGGGCAGACCTCTGTACGTGTGCACCTCGCCCTTTCCTCGGTACAAGTGAAACACGCTGACACGCATGTGGCATGCATGAGGCCCCTTCCCACTGACAATCGCTGCATCTCGTCACATCCTCTCATGCTCTCCCCTCCAGGGCACGTTCTTTGTGCTTTAATACCTAATGTCCACCATACACAGCCTCCCACTAGCCCCACCACTGCCTTGGGCCGTGATCCCATCTCTCATCCCTCTTGGAGCCGCAAAGCTCACCTATTCTTCTCTTCCTCCAAACCCATTCCCATTGGGCCCTTTGAATTCCACTGCATTGCCAGTCTCTCAGCTTCCCCTACTGTGGCAAACTCAGCACTAACTTTATTCCCAGAGAACAGGTTTGGCCACTCACCACTCTTGTCCCCTTTCCCCTACCCTCATGGTTTGGCCTCATTTTACCCCCCAAACCGAGTCCTTCACCTTCTCGTCTTCATCAAATGACCTTCACAGATCCCTGTAGCACAATTAGTAAAAACCCGGAGACAGATGCTGGGGTTCAGCCTGAAGGTCAGAAAAGCAAAGCAGCAGCCACTGGCTCCTACCTCGGTCTGAAATGGCAACCCTGCCTCCAGGAATCCTCAGAATGAGGATTAGATTCCTCTCTAGGGCTGGGATTAAAGGCGTGCACCAGTATGCCCGATTTCTGTAGCAAACTAGTGTGGCTACTGGGATTAAAGGTGTGTCACCACTGCCTGGTCTGTAAGGCTGATCAGTGGGGCTGTTTTCTCTCTGAACTTCAGGCAAGCTTTATTTATTAAAATACAAATGAAACATCACTACAGACCCCATTCAGCTCAAGGGTTTACAACCCCCCAGTAAGAAAGTGCTCATGGCACAGCAGGCTCAGGTTCCCCTTTCCACACATATGCTTGCTGGCAGAGGGACAAACAACTAAGTGTGTGACTGAAGGGACCATAATGCAAAGATTAGGGAGGCTAGGCAGGAGCTGGGAGCAGAAGGGAAGATAGCTGTATCCACTTCACTAGATGCCTGTTAGGGAACGGAGCTCCTGGGCCCAGATGCTAGCTTTAATAAAGGACCCTGCATTTTAACTTTCCCATGATTAGCTACACCAGGGACCTAACCCTAAGAGATTTCTATTTCCTACATCTGCAAGTGAAGCCAGGATTTTGTTTGGTTTTGGTTTTTTGAGACAAGGTGTCTTTGTGTAGCCCCCAGCTGGTCTGGAACAGTGTACACCAAGTTGGCCTTGAACTCAGAGATTCTTCTTCCTCAGCTCCCAAGTTCTGGGATTAAAGGAATTTGGGACCAGACACTGCCTTATGTTTGTTTTTGAGACAGGGCTTCATGTAGCCCAGGCTAGGCTAGCCTTGAACATGCTATAGCGGAGGATTACTTTGAACTTCTGATCCTCCTGCCTCCACTTCCCCAGTGCTGGGATTACAAGCATGCTCACCATGCCCAGTGTATGAAGTGCAAGGAATCGAATCCAGGACGTGGAATCCAAGAATCCAGGCAAGCACTCTGCTAACTGAACTACATTTACAGACAGGCCCCACTTTTGGGAAAGGCTCTACTCTCTTGCCTCAGACTGCCTCTGTGAGCAACCACATCTGGCGTGTGGGGAGGCTAATTTTTTGTTTTAACTATTTTTGTTGATTCAGGGTGACATATAGTTCAGGCTGGCTTCTGACGGACTGTGTCTCTGAGAACGGCCTTTAGCTTCTGATCCACCTGCCTCCACCTCCTCGTTATTGGTATTAAAGACAGGGGCTACCATGAAGGGTTTAGGCAGTAGTGTGGACTCCCAGGGCTTCCAGGATACTCTATAAACTGAGCTTTAACAGGTCTACACTTTGAACCACACCCTCAAGTAGTCCCGCCATCAACTGCACAAAAGGCTGAGGTGAGGGCAGCACCGGTTCTGGGCGTATGTCTCTGCAAGGGGGCTCTCACTCATAGTCGATCCCATCTAGACCCCCGCCTCTCCACCACAATCAGTCCCCAGTAGGTCGCAGCTGCTGCACCCATACCACCTCCGCCAGTTTGCAAATTACTCGGTCGGCTGGTGGTCTGGGTCTCATTCCCACCGGAACCGAAACCCAAGGAGGGAAGAGGCTATCTGGATCTTTCTTACACCGAATGCAAACCTACTGAGACAGCCCCCTGCCCCAATGCCACTCAACGTTCCCCTTCGGTTTGCAGCACCCAGGCTCTCCCTCGCCCACCTGGTCCCCTTCCTACCCACGGGCAGGATCCTGACTCCGACCGAAGCCTCAAGCGATCCCGGGAGCTCAGCCGTTACAATTCAAAGGTTCTCCTTTTAAAATAGGAGTTGCACCCTCTGCTCCGAAAGCTGATTGGCTCGAGGCAAAGCGACAGCGTCCTGTGATTGGCTCACCGTGAACGCGACGACGGGAAGCTCGGTCCTTGCGTAACTGGAGCGCAAGCGCACTGAGCCGTCAGAGCCCGGAAGTGGTGAGCCAACGGCCTGTCCGATCTGTGGCCGTTCTGTCGCTCGCCGTGCTCCCCCGGATCAGGCGTTTGCCGGTCACACAACAGCCGTGTGGGTTCAGGGTTGTCGCGAAGGTGATCGGCTCGGAGGCGGTGAATGAGCGTCCGGAACGTGCCAGTGAGTAAGATGGCGAGAAGGGCAGGCTGGCGAGTGATCGGGAGGTTGCTCGGCGCTCTGCTGCGTGCCCTTCGCGCGTGCGCAGTAAGTGCGCACTCAGAGCGATCGATCAGGCACGATTCGCGCCTCCATTTTTCTAGAAGAGAACGGGAGACCGAGACCCTGATCGGGGGTACGGGGTTGTGGGTAGGAGGGGCCATAGGGAATCGGGTTGGTGCGGTTGGCTGGGGTCTGTGGTTGATTGCGTGAACTATCTGCAACTTGCGGAGAGGATGGCGAGAGGCCGTACGCCCCGAGTCCGTGTGCCAGAGTTGGCCGGCCAGGCCTGCAGCCCGAGCCTCCAAGGGCCTCGGTCCCTGCTTCCCGCCTGAGCGGTCCCTGGGTCCCCTACATCCCCGGGGCGGGCTCTTCCTGCCTCGTGCCTGAGAGTTCCTTTTGGCGAACTGGAGAGCCTCTAAGTAGACCTGTGCTCCACTGGAAGTTTCGTGGGGCATTCAGTGAAGGCTCAACCACTCCCCCGCCCCTTAAATCTCGTGGCACAGCCCCAGGTGTTCCCTGGCAAAAGTGAAGAGATGGTTGCTCAGTAGTTTAAGTTGTGGACTCCGGAGTGCGCAGGCTTGCCCTCAACTATCGGAGGCTGACTTTAGTTTGGATGAACCGGTCTCCTAGATTCTTGGAACTTACTTCCTCCTCTGTTGTGTCCCGGCGTCTTATGCAAGAGTAGATTTGTGTACATTTCTTACGTAAGTGCACGAGTATATTGAATACTTTCGTTTAGTGAGCTAATGCCAAGTAGGTGCCTGGAATCGTATCTGGCAGTACGAAGTGCTTGATTGGTGTTACCTGTTGAGGACACCCCATCAGAACGATGCTGTGTGTGGCCCTGCGGGCTTTTTGTTGTCGTTGTTACTGTTGTGCAGGGCTTTTTGTTGTTGTTGCTGAGTCTAGGGCATCTGGCAGGCTAAGCAAACATTAACCCTTGGCCTTATTACCAGTCCCACCTTCTTGCTTGCTGTTCCTCGATTCCTGTAGTCAAACATCTAGCCACATACTGATAATTATCAAATTGCCTGCACAAATTGATATGGAAGCCATCACCTTTAGTTTTGGGTTGTTTTCACGGACTGGAGAGCTTCGACCCTTCCAGATGAAACTGAGAGCACAGTCTGTCCAGATTTACATTTTCTGTTTGTTCTGGTGGTATCATTTTAAGTTTGTTTGTGACAGGGTCTCACTGTGCAGCTCTGGCTGGCCTGTGACTTCCTTGTCGACCAGGCTGGTCTCAAAATCACAGGGATCTGCCAGTCTCTGCCTCCCGAGTGCTGGGATTAAAGGCGTACATCACCACCGCCCAGAGAAAATAGGTTTTAAAATAATAAAATGTCACTCGGAGATTTACAGTCCTGCTGGTGAGAAAGGAAAGGTAAAGTACTCCAGGCGTCTACAGAGTGTTAGCTGTCTGCCTATCGCGGGCACCAGTGCTAACAGAAGGGATAGCAACAGAGAAAGGCTGCAAGTGGGTAGTTTAGCAGAGGAGAGAAATAGTGAAGGGTTCTACTGTAGCCATTGGTGACATGGCTTGTATAGTTTCTGTATGCAAGCACCCACCTCTGCAATTTCTGTGCACCATCTTGATTAACCTCCAGTGACTTAGGTAACAGCAGAAGAACCTGAGCCAAGGAAAACAGGGTGACCGTCCAAAGATAATGCAGCTAGTCAGGCTGGCTGCTCCTGGCCGAGGAGATCCGCGTTGCTGGTAGCTGAGGAGTGCCTCTGCTTTTCACCAGTGCCTGTTTACTCTTGCAGCAGTCAGGGAAACTGTCCTCTTCTGCAAAATGTACAGAACCAAAGTGGGCTTGAAGGACCGGCAGCAGCTCTACAAGCTGATCATTAGCCAGCTGCTCTATGACGGTTACATCAGCATTGCCAATGGCCTCATCAATGAGATCAAGCCCCAGTCGGTGTGCGCGCCCTCGGAGCAGCTCCTGCACCTCATCAAACTAGGTAAACTGTGAGTGCGGATTCCCACATCCCAGAGTGACGTTGTAGATGTCTGCCAAGGGCAGTTTCTGAGGTTATTCTGCGTGGTTTCAGTGTCCAGTGTGTGCCAAGTTCAGAGATGAGGACTTAAAGGGTCACTGAAGTCCAGGTGATGAAGCTGGTTCTATTTGTACAAATCACCTGGACACTCCCCTCAGGTCTCAGCTCAGATGTCATGGCCGATTGCTCTTGCCTTTGCCCCTGTCTCCCCATGCTCCTTTGCTCAGTTACTCTGCCACCATGATCCGCTTCCCTCCTAACATCCTATCTGAAAGTGACTTTGTCCTTTGAATCATTTCCACACACACACACACACACACACCGTCTCTGTAGCTATCAGGGCCTTGTGTTGGCCAGTTGATATATCCTGGCACACACACACACACACACACCGTCTCTGTAGCCATCAGGGCCTTGTGTTGGCCGTTGGTATATCCTGGCACACACACACCATCTCTGTAGCTATCAGGGCCTTGTGTTGGCCGTTGGTATATCCTGGCACACACACACACACACACCGTCTCTGTAGCCATCAGGGCCTTGTGCTGGCCGTTGGTATATCCTGGCACACACACACACCATCTCTGTAGCCATCAGGGCCTTGTGTTTCCATTGGTATATCCTGGCACCTACCTTACCCTGTACCCAGCTGTGTCCACGTCACTGCCAACGTTGATGGTAAGTTTGTATTTAAGCATGCTTTCAGTCAGGAAGTGGTCTCCACAGCTCACACACAGACACACACTCTAACATTATTCTGAGTCATTATGAAAGCGTACATAACAAGAGATGTGTTCACAGAAAAGATAGCAGCACACGGAACAGATTTATTCCTTTGACTTGATAATGCCACTTATGAAATTGTCCGGGGGGGGGCGGGATAAATTAAAATGGTCCACAGAGAAAATTTGAATGTTTAACTTTAAATTTAAGATTTTAATTCTAGATATCCATAAAAATGTATAATGTGGAAGCAATACAATGTTGAAGACTTGTTCTGGTGAACTGTGAGTGTTTAAACAACCAGGCAAGTCCCAGTAGTACACGCCGGCGTTTGTTTTGAAAAGCAAGAGTTGTATGTTTGGGAAGAGGCCATAAAAGTTCTTCACGTGTTTTGAGTCCTCCTATACCAGTTACATTTACTGTTTATGTGATAGGTGAGGTTATTTTAAGTCCAACACTTTCTTGTTTGTTCTGGGGATTACTGAGGAGTGATTTTTATTATTACTGTTTTGCTAGTTTGGGTCTGTATGTGTGCAGTGTCCCTGGAGGCCAGAAGAGGGTGTCAGATTCCCTGGAACAAGAATTACAGACATTTGTTAGCTAAGAATTGAACCCAAATCCTCTGGAAGAACAACCAGTGCTCTTAACAGCTGAGCCGTCTCCACCTCTGTGTTTTATTTTGATTTTAAATTTTTTTTTTTAGTTTAGGTTTGTTTTTATTTTATGTATTTGAGTGTTTAGCCTGCATGTATGAGCATGTACCATGTGAGTGCCTGGTGCCCACATAGGCAAAAAAAGTTCTCCAGTCTCTTGGAACTGGAATCATAGATGGTTTTGAGTTACCATGTGGGTAATGAGAACTGAGTCTCAGGGCAAGTACTCTTAACCACTGAGCCATCTTTCCAGCCTCCTTGTTTTGTTTTTAAAACAAGATTTCATTATGTAGCCCTGGCTGTCCTGGAACTTATTATATAGACCAGACAGACCTCGGCTTACCTGCCTCTGCCTCCCGTAAGTGGGCTCCATTATTCCCAGCTTTTTATTTGCTTGCTAATGGATTTCTTATCTCCGAGGCTACCTTGAGCTCAATATGTAGGTGAAGTGGATCTTAAACTCATGATTCTCTTGCCTCTTCCTCCTAAGTTCTGGGGTCACAGGCAACTTTTGTAACACCCAACGAACATATTTTTTATAAACTTCAGTATACTTAAGTATGGCATTCTTTCAAAAGCATGTCACTAATTCACCCCAAAGCTGCAACTAACTGATCACAACCCTAAAGACTAGAATTCGGTGCTGGAGATATAACTCGGTGATAGGGTAGACCCTGGTAGGTGTGAGGCTATGGGTTGTCCCCAACACCATAAAATAAGCAAAGATGGACTGGAGAGATGGCTCAGCAGTTAAGAACATCTTCCAGAGGTCCTGAGTTCAATTCCCAGCAACCACATGGTGGCTCACAACCATCTGTAATGAGATCTGGTGCCTCTTTCTGGCAAGTAGGCATACATGTAGGCAGAACACTGTATACATAGCAAATGAAGAAATTTAAAAAAAAAAAAAAAGAAAGAAAGGCATCTAAGTTTTGTTTCCCCATTCTAAATGGAGAAAATAAATTAACTACAGTGCTGTTGCTTTGTGGTGTTAAAGATGAATTCTGCCTGCAGCAGTGTGCATCGCACACAGGATGGGCAGGGTGCATGGCTGGTCGAGCATTTGGTGGTGGTGGCAGACATCGTTTCCACCCTAGACCCGGAGCTTGTCTTTGCACTTAACAGCTTTTCTCACGCTCTTAATTTTGGTTTCTCCAGGGATGGAAAACGATGACTCTGCAGTTCAGTATGCAATTGGTCGCTCCGATACAGTTGCCCCTGGCACAGGGATTGACCTGGAGTTTGATGCAGATGTCCAGACAATGTCGCCCGAGGCTTCCGAGTATGAAACCTGCTATGTCACTTCCCACAAAGGCCCATGCCGCGTGGCCACCTATAGCAGAGACGGGCAGTTGATAGCCACAGGCTCCGCTGATGCTTCCATAAAGATACTGGACACGGAAAGAATGTTGGCCAAAAGTGCCATGCCAATTGAGGTACCCTTCCCGCCTACCATTGCTCCAGACAG